ATGTTGTGTGTGTGTGTGTGTGTGTGTGTGTGTGTGTGTGTGTTTTCAATGGGATAGTGTCTGCCTTTTAATAAGTATTTAGGTCACTTATATTTAATATGTCATTATTGAAATATATGTTAGGGTCTCTTTGGAAGAGAAATCACACAGTAATTTGAACAGGGAAAATTTAATATAACCAAATAACTGGAAATTAACTGCTGAAGGTAAACTACTAAGGTAAAGAGATCTATAAAAAAAAATAGAGCAGTCACTGCTTTTAGGGCTGAGGCAGAATACCCAAGGAGGGAACATATTTGGACTAGAGCTGCCTTTTCCAAGCTGAGATTCTGATGTTGAAGGAGGTGTAGCTATAGCCCAGAAATGAAGTTTGCTGAGATGTGGAAGGGTGAGGCTGGCAAGCAGGAAACTGCCCACTAAGATGCTGGCAAAATTTTCTTGGAGGCCATCTGGCTTAGACAGCTGAGAATATTTACTGTCTAGACCTTTACAGAAACAGTTTGCCAACCCCTGGACTTGAGTGAACTGAAATGGAGACTTTTAAAAAAAAATGTATTTGTATTGATTTCAGAGAGGAAGGGAGAGACAGACAAAACCATCCTATATAATAAAGAAGTAATGTGCAAATTGACCATCACTCCAACACACAAGATGGCCAGCACAAGGTGGTCAGCAGGGGAGGGCAATTGGGAGGGACCAAGCTTGCAAGGGAGGGCAGTTGGGGGGACCAGGCCTGCAGGGGAGGGCAGTTGGGGGTGCCCAGGCCAGGAGGGGAGGGCAGTTAGGGGCAATTGGGCCAGCAGGGGAGCAGTTAGGCGTTGATCAGGCTGGCAAGGGAGTTGTTAGAGGATGATCAGGCAGGCAGAAGCAGTTAGGAGCAATCAGGCAGGCACACAGGCGAGTGGTTGGGAGCCAGCAGTCCCGGATTGTGGGACGGATGTCCGACTGCAAGTTTAGGCCTGATCCCACCAGGCGGACATCCCTGGAGGGGTCCCAGACTAGAGAGGGTGCAAGCTGGGCTGAGAAACACACACGCACCCATGCACAAATTTCATGCACTGGGCCTCTAGCCAATGATAAGAGTGAATCATTGATAGGCTACCTCCTTCATACCCCCTCTTGGGGATTGAGCCCCCAACCTGGGCCTGGGCCCTGAACTGGAGATAAAACCGTGACCATCTAGTTCATAGGGGGATGCTCATCCACTGAGCCACACTCACCTGGGCTGGAATGGAGACTCTTTAAAGCAAACTTTTAGTAGAAAATGCACATCAGAGTTTCATATGTGTATATTGGTGGTAGGTGCTTGGTTTATTTAGCGCAGTA